TTTTTTATGATAGATACCTGTGTTTCGTATTTTTTTTTCCTGCCTTGTCCGTTGTCGTTTTTGTCCTTTTTTGTCTTATTTTTTTTTCTTTTATGTTTTTTCTTTTTGATTTTTTCTTTTCCCACTGGTGTGGGCAGGTACTGTTCAAGATTATTACTTTTATTAATATCTTTAAATAATAATTACAGTCAAATGAAAATGGATATATGATAATGCTTGAGTTAATATGAGTTATGTTTGTTGACCGTGGAGGAGATGTACCAAAGCTTGTCTGTAATCGATTGATACATTTTTTACAGATGTAAAGAAAGATGCTGTACTTGTTTTAATTAAAATTAAAAAAACATTTATTTAAAAAAAGAAAAGAAATAAAGCCTATATGGATTTTTCACACCAAGAGATTAACTCTTAGTATATCAGCGGAAGTAGGGACAAAATGAACATTTCTCTTTAGAATTAAGAGACTTCATTTGTGGAAAGTCTCTGTCTAATCTTTCCGTGGAGCATTGCTCTGAGGTAGACGTTCCCAGTGCCATCCAATCTGAATGAATCTAGTTTATTTATTTAAATAACACCCAGATCTACGTATATAGCAAACAACCAGAAGGGAATGTAGTCCAGCAATCTCACTGATTTTCTGATATCTGTCCCTGCAGCGACTTTGATCTCATGATCTTGCTACCTGTGGTTCTTGGGTTACTGGTGCTAATTTTAGGTGGAACTATACTGTTGATGTGGAAGCTAAAGAAGAAAAAAGGTGAGAAATTTGCCAAACACATTTGCATCTTGATTGTTTCATTCCTTAAATTGAGAATGAACCATGTATGGTGGCTGGGGAGACATATTTTTTTAAAAAAAATTACATTATTAAGAATTTTACATAAGGATTTATCTTTAAAAAAGAAAGAAAAAAGTGCAAGAAAAAAGACAGAAAAGACACAAGTTACTAAATACAATGACTTTCAACCTTCTCTTCAATAGAGAATTATAATCTTAGAATCCCTTCTCCTTCTTAAATATTATACATTATTTAATCCACCTCTCTGAATCCATAAACTATCATATCATTTTTGTTTGCTTTCAGCAAAAAGTCCATATAAGGTTTTCAGACTTTCAGAAACGTTTTGTTATTTTCTCTGACCAAATAGATCAACTTTGCTATCTTAGCAAATTCTGACATTTTGGCTATCCATCCCTCCACTGTGGGAAATTTCATTGTTCTTTCATCATTGAACATACAATAACCTTGCCGCAGTTACCATATACAAAATCAATCTACCATGAATCTTTTCTAATTTCTTGTCCATAAGTCCCAATAAAAGAGTTCTGGTTTCTTGACAATATTTATCTTTAAAATCCTTCGCATCTTTTATTAATTTGAATGAATGGATGAAGGAATTGTGTTTCTGATCCTTGTTTCTAATTACAGAAAACCAGGAATCTGAATAACAGCTGCCTAATGCCATAATTTGAAAAAAATGTAATTTCCCGAGAGAAAAATCTAATTTTAAAAAAGTTGGTCATAAAAATTAACTTGGGCAAAGGAAGAAAATAATAACCATATGACTAACATTTTTTTTCAAAGCTGTTGCTTTGAATGTTGCAGCAATGCCCTAATGCTATTTTATTGTTTGTTTTTTTCAGCTACCAAAATCTCTAAGGGTCCCCTTCCATCTACGGTAAGCAATTTCAAAAAATTTACAGGCATACATCCAAGCACATTGACATTAATAGGAGGACAGGAGTTGACCTGGAACATATTTATGGAGGATCACTTTTTAAAGTCATATAAGACATTCCATCTTATCCAGCGTACAAAGCTGGATCAATGATGCCAGAAACCCTATCTGAACCATTTAGTCAAATGATAAGTTTGGAAAGGACTGAGGTGTCAGCTAATCCAGCATTCCCCAAACGAATGCGTTTCAGATTTTCTGGAACTCAAACTCCCAGAATTCTCAGTAGCATGGCTATATGAGCAGATAATTGTCAGTATTTTTGGCTTAATGCATCTGAAGGGCTTAAGAAGAATAATTCAATTTACTATATTTTTTGGAGTATAAAACACACTGGAGTATAAGACGCATCAAGATTTTGAAGAGGCAAATTAAAAAAAAAAGTTTTTACGCTCTGCAAACTTCCCAAAAATAGCCTGTTTTTTGTGAAAATGAGCCCGTTCTTTTTTAAAAAGGACATGCATAACCTTTAGGAAGCTTAAAGAGTGCTCCTGGGGGCTGGGCGGGGCAAAACTGAGCAAAAACGGCCCGTTCTTCGCTCATTTCTGCCCTCCCCAGCCCNCCTTCCTTCCTTCCTTCCTTCCTTCCTTCCTTCCTTCCTTCCTTCCTCCCTCCCTCCCTCCCTCCCTCCCTCCCTTTCTGGAACTGGGGTGAGATTGACACAGGTTCTTCTGGTTTCTCCTTGTAGCCTCACTAGGAATGTTCATTTTCTGCACAAGCAACATCCTCCTCAGGAGCCCTGAAGCTTTTGGCTTATGCACCAAATTTCAAGATGTCAGTATAACAGGCAATTCCTGGACAGGGGTTCATATGAAAGGACTTCCAGTGGAAAGAACATATCTTCAAAGACTGGCCTGTGGAAAAGAAGGCAATAAGGATTTCTTCCCAGCACAGATGGGATGTGGATAAAGCAGCAGGAGACTCTGCCCCTTGGGGGCTGTGATCACTGCCACCCAGACAGAACATCCTGCCTGCCCTTTTTACCAAAGCTTGGAATCCAGAAGTGCTTTCTTAAAATGAAACTTCCAGCTGATTTCAGCCTGGAAGATGAGCAATTTAAATCTGCCAGGCAGAATTGCCCTTGGTTGAGAAAGGAGAAATATTTGATCACCCACTTGGTATTAGTCAAAGAAAGCTATATGGAAAGAGAAGAACCAAACACTTTTTTTTCAATGGCATGCAGTGCCAGGTAGTGGATTAGGACAGAGGTGGGCTGCTGCCGGTTCGGATTGGTTCAGGCAAACTGGTAATTCCAACCAACAGCTCCGCCCCAGCACTATCCCACCCTATATAATCGCCGTGTGTTTGATGCCACACGCATGCGTGGAAGGCACGCCCACTCACATTTTCAATTCTGGCTGAACCGGATTTTACATTATATGACTCCCACCTCTGGATTAGGAGTAATATAGACCAAATATCTTGTGTCCAGCAGCATTCCTGCAGAAAAAAAGCTTTTGTCCCTCTGATATCTCATCGATGAGAATATTGATTTCCGTCATGGAGCTTGCTGGCAGCAGAAACAGAAGGAGATAATTGATTGTTGCCAGGGAAATGTAAAGCATCAGTAGTAAACTGGAGTCCTTTAGGGGTGGCATGTTCCCTGCCTCGGCCCAATATTGGAACTCCAGTTCTGATCTTTTGGATTACTGGGTAGAGGATGAACTATATTATGAAGTTTGCCTAGTCTGAAAAAGTGAAAGCCACATGCTTAGGTTTCTCTACTACATAATTCCTTCTATTTCTAACATCCAACCTTTCCCTTAGTTAAATATATCTTCCTCACCACAGAGAGCTAAACTAGGGAAGGCAGCAGAAATCTGCTTTCTTTTTATAGTGATTGAGATCCTGGGGCTACATTCTATCACTGTTCCATTTGTTTGCTTACTTGTTTATTAATGCAGTAGGCATGTTGAAAGATTCCAAAACATTTTATGTGGCTTGCACATGTAGAACCTGTGGGCAGACATGTACATCTTCCCCACCAAAATTGATGGGTGCAGGGGTGATCTTTTCCTCTGGTACTTGCTAGGGATGCTACCTTGCAGATAACCAGATGTGAGACTTATTCATGATTTTGTTCTAGGAATCAGTTGAGTTGGCTGCCATTCAGTAATGGGTTTTACTTATTTTTACCATCGGTTCACACACACACCCCGGTGCTTGCTTTGTACACTTGTGCACCTTTTGCGTATGCGTCCAGCCTTCTGTGCAAGTGCTTTCCTCTTGTGCACACCTTCTGCGCATGTGCCCTGCCTCAAAAACATGCCTAATAGGATACCATAGAAGGGGGGGGGGGCACCAGCAATCTCCGCTACAGAATGGATTTTCACTGTATCTGCTTTGATGCTGTTGCTGAATTGGCAATATAATTCCTTGGGCTTATGGTGTTGAGGGACGTCAATCTTCCTTTCCTGGGCACAGGAGCAGAAGCAGCTCAGGAGTACATGGCTGTCATCCTAACAGTTTATATAAGCTGGTTTTTCTCAAAATCTGATCTCAGCACCCCTGGGGATCCCTCGGGACCCTCTAAGGGCTGTGCAAATTGAAATTTGAATTGAATTTTTCAAAGTAGAATAGAATCCTAAAAGTTTAAGAGCCACACTGAAATTTAAAGGAAGAAGCAAAGCATTTCAACAAGGGAAGGAAATTGGTTACGCAAGTTCCCTCTCTGCCAATATTCTTGGTATAACACTATTTTTTTTAAAAAAGCCTTTCCATGAGAACACAAACTACAGACCTCTTAGCACGCTGATATTTATATTTGCTGTTTATATTTACAGTTTATTTATTCTCATTCATGGGGTTATTTCCAAAGTTGGAGGAACTGCTACTCTCTGCCAAAGTACACAGACTACTTAGTTCAGAAGGCGGCCGTGTGTGTGTGTGTGTGTGTATGTGATTGCAAACAAATATTATAATTTCCATCATTCCATACCTTCATTTCCAGGAGCCAGGCAGAAGCAATCAAGTCTGCTGAACGTTTCATTGTCAAATTGTTCCCTCCCACCTCCCCCAGGCATCAATAGGTCCTCCTGATAGGTTTCGACACATCATCAATCTTTACATTTATCTTCTGGGTTCACATAATACTTGTAGCCAATTTGAATGGAAAATAACCTCCCAGGGGAAAGTTACTCCTTATTTCTGAAGCTTGGAATTTTTTCCCCAGTAGTGACAGGTCTATCTTTGTCGGTATAAATTGTTGGTAAAATTTTAAGACCATGCAAGCATCGCTTAGAAAATTATGGGTTTGTACTTTTTTAATTTCTTTTTTAGGGCTGCCACCTACCGGTATTACAACAACAGGATATTTTTCCACCACCTCAACCTTCCCTGCTGAAACT